AATACAGAACACACACTTTGTTAAGATTGAATTTATCTAATAAATTAAGGTTGTATTTCCTTCCCACACACTTCACCCTGATGTCTACAGAAGTTGTCTAATGGAACATAACCCACCTTCAGATTACTTTCATACATAAGAAGAACAATATTTGAGAAGTTTGCACTCAAACCAGGCCTTGAACACTCTGGCAGATCAGAAGAATGCAGCCCCTTAAAGCAGCATCTCTTTGTGACACAGATCTCTGACTGCCAGGCTGCCAAATCAACTACATTTCAGATAATTGTACTTGGTTTTATGTCTCTGTAATGTTCTGGAAGTTTTGCCATCTTAGGCTGCAATATTGATCACATATTGATGGCAATTATCATCTTAATTCAAGGCCATCAGCCAGGGAACATGACCTAAGCACACCTCTGTAAATCAACCATCACACACAGCAGTGGTGCCACTCACAGCTAAGTCAAAGAATAATGGAGCTTGGAAGGGCCTCTGGAAGTCAACCAATCCACCCTCCTGCTCAAAGAAAGTCTAATTAGATTACAGTGCTCAGGGACTTGTCTGGGTATCTCTAAGGATGGAGATTCCACAACTTTTCTGGGCAACCTGTTCTAATATTTGACCTATTTCATTCTAAAGCACATAGTGCTTGCAATTTGGCTGAATCATTAATTCAGAAAATTGTTTCGCACACATTAAAATCCTCAGGACTGCACTGAGTCCATCTCATTACAACAAATGGGAAATTATGGAGGGCTGTGTAAAGAAGGGAGAGGAAGGCTGAATGCAGAGACAGTTTCACCCAAACCAGGAAAAATACTGGCACATGTCTTCAGCAAGCCATGAATGTCTGTTCTCCAGGACAAACACTGACATAACAGCCAATGCAGGTGAGGTCACAGATGAGGGATGGGAAAGAGCAGAAGGGAGACAGTGCTCCCCTCATTTATCATCTTCCTGCTTCTATTCGAAACTGTTCCACTCTATCCTGACACAGAAAAATGGTTTTCATGCAGGAACTGAAAATGCCACCTCAGCATCAACTGTTAGCAAACAATCAATCCTCTTAAGGGCTGACAAAGAAAATAAATGTGGTGACAAACACTCGTGTGGACAGAACCTCTGGCGACTGTCAAGTGTATGATCAGAATGGGAAAAATAATCTTGACTTTGCTGAACAAAATTGTGAAGTGATCAAAATCCTGTCATGGAAATCCTTCTTTTAGCACATAAGGAAGCTGGTTTGTGTGTTACACAAAAGTGAAAACCTCAAAATTCAAGATGACGACCTTCTTCTTAAAACACCATCTGAACCATTTGAGTCATAAAAACAATCTCTAAGCACCCCTGAATTAATTATGCTGACATCTACTGGGAACAGGAACTTATGCACTTCTTCAGAAGAACACTTTCCAGCTATGCCTCAACCCTATGACAGAAGGAGAAAGAAGAAATGGAGCAGTAGTTTACAGTTTAAAATTAAAATGGGGATTTTTCCTCTCTTTTCTCCCCCTCGTTCCTGCCAAACCATCAGCAAGTATTAGTACACTTTAGATCTGGGTATTTGCCACTTAGCATGAAGGCTGATACTTCTGGGGGACATAAAACCTGAATAACAGAGACTGAATTCAACTACTCCCAATGTCAATATATATAGCAGAAAAAATAAAAAGGGTGAATGCCTGTAAAGGCATCAGGACAACTGTCATCTGTTCAAAGTGAAAAAACAGTAAATCAAGACTTCAAGTAGGAATCCCTCAGCAACCTTGTTTTACTTTTTTAAGTAACAGGACAGGCCACCTCCACCCCTCAGTAAGACCCCAGCCACCAACAAGTTCCTGTGAAGCAACAGGAAAAGCATGAAGCTAGAGAGCTGTAGCACTGTCAGAAGACAAAGAAGAAAGCAGCAATCTTGCCTTTCTTTGGAAAAGGCTCAGCAAGTAGTATTTAAGGTATGTGAAGTTTAGAGAAAGCTGTCAGTGAGCATCTCCTGAGAGGCAGTACCACACACTGCTACAGAGCTGCTGGACAGAAGGGTAGAGGACCCACTCTACTGCCAGGGTTACAGGAACCACAGGACCAACTTTTACCATGTAGTGCCCACAAAAAAAAAAAAAAAAAAAAGGGCAAGCACTTTTCCTCTTCACTCAGCTGTTTTACAATTGCAAGCCAAAGGTCAACTATCTTCACTCACTTTTGGAAATCAGCCACAAGATTACTAACAACCAGCTTAATGGCTCCAGTTCAAGTGCTATTCAATCAGGTCTTGAATCTGTGGGTAGGCAGCAGTAATGACACATGACATCACAGGCAAGTTATCTGCTGAGGTCAGAGCAGCCAGACTGGGCATCTCTGCCTTCTCTCCCCACAGGGAGAAACATGGACTTCCAAGGACTGGGATTTAAACTGTTAGAGACTTTGTTCCTGACTTGTGTGACATGTTTTGCTATAAATCAATCCTCTGCCATCCTCAAATAGCCATCAGGTTGATGTGGTTCTCTGGGGTGCATCACCACAGGTGTCTCATAGTTAAAAGGCTTCTACATGAAATGACACATGGCCTTCAGCAAGGGATGCTGAAGAGTGCAGGTGCATTCAACATGTTACAAGTTTATTCCTCTTCCCAACTCCTTTGAGGACAGGAGGATTGACCTGGTTAATGAGAGACATCACAAGGGGCACATGACTGGGATACCCCTAAGATTTTTCAGTCATGAGCAAACAGATCTAACTAATAGACCTAGCATTTTAGGTGGAAATTAATTTCCACAACCTCAAACACATTTGAAGTGAAACAGATTTTTCAAAGCAAAGAAGTGCTACAGAAGTTTGTCAGTTTGGATAAACTGGAACAGCTCTAACTCGTTTGGATTTGTCTGAAATTTGCCAGCTTTACACAGTAAATCTCACCACACTGCACAGAACTCAGCTCAACTACGTGCTGAAGGGTTCCTGAAACTCCTGATGCTTCCAGTGACTTTAGTGATAATCTTGAGCAATTTACCATTTCTATGGCTCATCATTTTTCATATTTCGTATTTCCTCATCAATGAGGAAAACATGCAAAATTTGCAAGCATTTTCATATGAATATGAGCTGAAAAGAAAGGAAATACATATTGACAAATTCATAAATCCTTTGAGGAAGTGTTCAGCCTAGGTTTTGGGTAAAGTAGGAAAATCCTTTGTATTCCAGGAAAAGTATAATTATTAATGCAGTGTAACAGCATACATATGTTTCTATCTGTGTGACAAAATTTGTATCTGTGGGATGACATCAAGTAGACAGGATTCAAGAACATGCTATCAGCCACTGTACACAGATGCAAAACTTAACACAGACTAAGCGTTAAAAACACTAAAAAAATGTATTTTTCCTTTGCTTCTTTGAGAAGAACATATTTTTAAACAAATGAAAATTTCATTATATTTTTTCATGTACTTAAGCAAACTTCTATCCCAAATTGAATGAAAATAGCTGAGAATACACTTGACAATAAACTGTATTTCATTATACTTCACTTCAGCCATGCTCTACTTCAAATACACTATAAATGTAGCTAGTTTTAACCTGAAATAAAAGAATACAGCTCAGGTTTAAAAAAAAAAATAAAAATATATAGCAAGGTTTTTACAAAAGGTTTCCAAAATTCTGACCGTCTGAAACATTTAAAAATAGCCCTAGGAAATATCCTGGTAATTTACACACACAGTGACACTGAGGTGTACAGGTCTAACAGGAGTTTTTAGGCCTATTATGGGGCAGGGATGTGTAGGACATACACAGATGCAATCATTCTGTAAGTTAAAATCTCAAAACATTATATGCTTTAGCAACCTTTATCTGTTTATTGCCTCACACTTTTAACAAAGTCACAGTTGAAATATCAGCTATAAAAGAAACATATTAGGTTTACACATAAAGGTTATTTTTTCCAGCTTATTTTAAAACAGTAGTTAAAATTAAGCGCTTCCCTGGCAAAAATGTAGAGCAAATGAGTAATCCCACTGAGGTCTGCAGGACTTGATTTGTCAGCACACAAAGTTACAGCCTTACATCTGCAGGAAAAGCACTGCTCAAAACTGCTTCTACTCCAAGCATTTTAGAAAAAATACAGCTTAAAAATACCTTAACACTGAATATATTACATTAGGAAGGTGAGTCTACCTTTATGGAGAAATAATGATTATGAATGAATTCCATTAAAGCATTTTGCAATATGGCTTTTATTACTTGGAAGCAACAAAGCTCTGAGCTACACTTCACTGAGGCCAAATTTCTGTGGATTTTTGTATTTTACTCCCCCTAAAATAAAATTTTGGGCTTGTTCTGTGTGTCCAGTTTTATGACAATTGTAGAAACTGAACTGTTTTTTTTCAGATGAAGCCAAAAAAGCCTTTGATATATTGAACAAACTATAGACCAAAATTCCTCTAATGCACTCCAACATTCACTTACATCTGCACAGATCCATTAGATATTCAGCCACAAGCTTATCACTGCAGTTCATCAGGACTGAAGATAAAACTCAGCTTCAATATTTGACAGCCTGATGCTAAAAGATTATCTACTGAGAAATAATCCAATCACTGTTCTTTGATATTAGAATCCTTGGCAGGAGGCAAAGAAAAGGAATACCAAATTGATCTTGATTACTTTATGGGGCTTCCTCTCATAATCTCTATACTGAATTTCCTTTTATCTTGTACTTCTGCTTATTTGCTGCCGTGTTTATGACTAAGTTTTCAAATATTCCAATATCAGAAGAGAAAATTGAGAGACTTTGGGATGCATGCTTAATACTCCAACAAAACAGCTTCTCCTGCTCTCAGAGAGGTGTGACTGGGATTTCGAAGATCTTGAGGCTCCGTATTAAAAGGAGATGGCATTCTCTGGGGACCCAAAAGAGGGTCAAGTCAGACGGACAGGAAGAGACTCAGAGAGAAACTGAACAGCCCAGGGGTAAAGAGGGAATTCCCGAGCCCGAGTTCTCCACTTACCTTAAGGATATCCCCCCGTTTGAAGCTCAGCTCGTCATCCGCGGTGGCTTTGAAGTCGTACTTGGCGATGGCTTCCATGCTGGGGCTGCCGCGCCCGGCGGTGCGGGCGGTGGGCAGGAAGCGCTCCCCGAAGCCTCCGCTCCTCCCGCGGCCGCGGCTCCCGGCTCGGTGCGAGGCGCCGGCCCCGTCTCTCACATACAGGGAGGCCGGGGGACGATCCGCCCTAGGGCAGGGGGAGGAGGAGGAAGAGACGGGCCATTAGGGGAAGTGGCACGGATCGATGGCCGGGGNCCGGCCGGGCCCTGCCCGCTCCCGCCTCTCCCGGGAACCTCTCCCGCTCCTCGCACCGGTAATTGCAGCGATATAACGGGGGGAGGAGCGGCCAACCGGCTCCCCGAGGGCCCGAGAGGAGAGCCCCGGGCTCCGCACCACGCACAGCCCGCGGTAGGCGAGGGCGTGCGCTCCGCTCCCCCCCGGCTGCCCTGGGAAAGACCCGACTGGAGATGCCCGCCCCGATGGTTTGGGTTCTACCATTCATACAGCTCACGTCGATTTCAATACAAGCTAGACAAAGCAGAGAGCGCTATTGGGTTTTTGGAATGGTAATGCCAATCAGAAAGTGTCCTCAAATACTATGACACAGAAACAAAAGTTTGGGCTGACTCTAAGTAAAAGCAACCATCGTGAAATTACAGTGCTTTGAGCAGCAGAACATGTTAAAAAAATCTTTATAATTCAGTGTGACAATCAGCAAGTTTGTGTCTCTTACAGGCTCAGAGAAGACATTAAATCAAACCTGGCAAGTCATATATACACGCTGAAACCACTGAAAAGGCTCAAATTCTGCTCTCAGGTTTGAAAAGGAATAATTTACTAGAACTCCAACTACACTTGATAGCAGAGAAGCGAAATAATCAGAAAAAAACCACCAAAACACAAGTATGACAGTCTATGAGTTAAAACCCACCTTGAAGAGCTAACAGAGAGCTGGCACTTGCCAATGACAATTCCAAGACATAAGAGATCTGACAAACACTGGTGAACCCACGCACCTGCTAATTCAGGCTCTGTGGTTGTGGCCCAGAAGGAGCCCTGCTGCATGCAAAGGCAGCAGATGGCAACAGTAATTTCTCATTTCAGAGAAAAACCTGCCTTACATAAATGTAATTCAGCAATTAACATGCTTATATTCCATGAGCCCCACGTTTGTCCAACCTTCAGCTCCCTGTAGAGAATAATGAAGCTTGAGGCAAACACCAGAACTGAGATTCTATCACAGGAATCTGGCAGAATGAGAGGTTTTAACAGGATTCACCTTGATCAAAAAAAAAGACCAGCTTAGCAGGGTCTCCACACTGACAGAGCTTTGTGATTTCTCTGGTCCTCCTACACAGCACTACTAAAACGTCAGCAAGGCTGAAAACAGAGTCACCCATCACAAAGTTCCCAACAGAACAATCTCCCTGTGCTACCATGACTGATGGAAATAAATGTACTGGATCCGAGCTTCAACCAACACACATAATGAAATCCATAAAGTGGATCATCATAGCTACATTTTGGTAATTATGAAAGATTTAGTCTCAAGGCTGATAAAAACCTTCTTTCTGAAGAAAAAACATCCACTGTTCCACAGTGGAACACATCATAGCAGCACACTCATCCAAATAGCAACAATTACTTCCCCTCACCAGAACTATTTTCTCTTGCTGATTCTACTGTGTTGTGTTCACTATCTCCTCACCTTTCCAAACTGGCCTCTTGGGGTTTGTCAACTGATGGTACTGATAATTTTCTGCTATTATAGCACCATTAAAGGGCAAGATGAATGACAGTCTATGAAGCAATGGAAAATGCTCAACACTTGTTGACCTGTCTTGTACCTTTCATGGTAAACATCATTTATTTCTAGTCCTTCTTAAATATTACTGGAAGCAACCTGGGTGTTTCTAACACCACCACACCACATGTGAAGACTTTCTGCCAAAGGAGCATGGCTTGAAAACCCCAAGTTCCAAACCTAAGAATGTAACACCAAGTTGCACAACTTAAGTTGCACACTAAAGGTTTGAAATACATTTAAAGAAAGAAACTACTTCAACTTATAAATATTCCCTTTTGGGGGGCACACAAGCATTGCTACTCAGTATTGCATTACCAGCTAAGAATTACTTTTTTTAACTGAAGGTGTTAATACACAACTTTCTTAGAGAAACTGATGCAGCATTTCCAAGAACTATACTGGCATTTCCCTGAGCTTAGTAACAGCACAATGTCGGGAAATTTTCCAGCACAATTCAAGATGAAAGAGATTCATCATGCAATACTCTTTAAACATGCATTAGTATTACTACCACCATCGGATATACTGTCAGCATACAAAGGAGTGATGTTTCCAGGTAACAATGTTAACAGCAGCTGCAGTGTACAACAAAACTTCAACTTTTCTGACTTTATACAAAAGTGTAGTTGAAGTTCTGGTACTAAAGTTACATCTGAAACAGGGAAAAGCTTTGAAAATATTAAACCAAGATACTCACACAGCAAATGTCATGAAAGGTAAAGTCAAGGCATAATTCCCTTAAAGTCTCCGTGAACAGCAAATGCTTCCTTAAATCTTATTTAATAAGTTCTTACACACTCTCAGCTATGCCATTATTAAAATATGAACAAACCAACTGCATGAGGAGGAAAAAAAAAGCACAGCTGTATCTGCTTCAGGCAGAGAGCAGTGCAACAGGACACGTTACTGCAGTGAACCCAGTCCACAGACTGCAAATGGAATAAGAATGCTGTGAATGAATAACAGTCAATGTATGAATATGATTACATGGTATAAAAATTATCAGATGATCTTGCTAAAGAAATGACTATGCCTTCTCAAAATATCAATGTTTCTCACCTTACTGTGACCAGGGTAAGACTTCCTTTGCTCTTAAAAATACTGGGAGGGGTGAGAGAAAGAAAAGGCAGCAGATGCAGCCAACAGTAGTGCTGCAGCTCAGAATGGAATAAAAGTAATTATAAATACAAACATCCCTGTTGTGGCCAACAGGAAACAATTCTCATGTTCACTTCAACAGATATTTCAAAAAGGCAAAGATGGGCTTTTTACACTACTCTTAGAAACAGCATGGTTTTTAAACAAAAGAGAGCTTTCTCATTGTTCTCTTTTCACTGTTTTACTGCTCTTCTGGAAAGTGATACAGGCAGGAATAGAACAACAGACAGTTTAGAAAGCCAAAGAGAGGCAAGATGGATCTACTGGGAGATTTTGGAGAGGATTAGATCCTAAACTTCATCAGCTGTTTTAGGACAAAACATTACTAAGGGTGGTAGAAAGAAAAATGTGTGCATACATCATCTAGAAGACATGCAGAAATGCAAGTGCCAGGCTCTAGACAAAAGAATAGAAAGTAAAAATTATAAGGGCAGAACTCTAATTCAAATTAACCAAATAAGGAAGTATAACATAATAAAGGAACAAAGTAAAATATAAATTATATTATCAACATATAAACCCCAGAACATCCAGGATCACAAATGAACCCCCTGATCTACCAGCTTAAAGTGATTCAACTTCCTTCAGCACCGGACAACTCAAGATATCACTTACAAAACCAGGCTGCAGCACAAAGCACAGATAATACTATTCAGATCAAAACGTTTTATCAGGTAACAGAAAACTTCATCTTTGCCAGAATTTATTTACTGGCAGTTCTTTTCTTTCTTATTTTAAACTGTCTAAAACTGCTTTAAATGTTATAAGCTTAGCTGGTATAATGAAATACTTAAAATATTGCACGACAATCAGCCTAAGAAATTATAACAAATGAAAGGCACAAATTCTCAATATCCAAAGTTTGCACAGAAATGGACCGTGTTTGAAGACTAATTTACCATCTGTGGTCCTTCAGAATTTGTCTCTTGACCCCGGGCATTCCAGAATTTTTGGAACAAAGAATTAACTTCCCTAAGCACTGTATCTGTGAATTGCTCTTGCAGTTACTAACTGTGCTACAGAACAGTTTTCACTGTAGGTTATAAAAGAGGTGTCTGAGTCAGATGTGGGAGTTAACAAAGCTGCATCCTTGTCTTCTACAGATTATTTGAAACTATATTGGCAAGTCAAACCTTATCCCACAAAACCAGTACTGGTTCTCAAGCAGGAAGTTCAGAAGAGAAGGAAAAGGCCAAGAGAAAAACGTTCTACTCCATCATAGAAACTCACATTTCAAGGGTGACCCCAAAGGTGTTTGGGGACAGTGCGGCAAGGATGTTATCCTGCCTACAGGGTACTCACAGACTTTTAACCTTTGAAAGCAGCCTTAAGTTATGGAATTCTTTTTTGGGAATACAAAAGATAAGCCCCAAGAACCACGACCACCCAGCACTCCCCAGCCGTAGGGCAAAGAGGAAAGCGACCCCCGCCCGGTGTTCCCTGTACGTGAGCCGGGAATCTCGCCGAGCCGATGACGCCTCTACAGCCCAGAGCTTATTTCAACCACCCCCCACCGGCAGAGCCCGCATCCCCTC